GATGCTTGGCATATTCTAAATATTCAAGTGAAATGCAAAGATATGCCCAAAGCATTTGTGAACCTCAATGCTTTTGAGCACGAATAACCCTCTCCAAGGCTTTTTGGAAAAGCAACATGACATTAAATTCTTTTCTCTTTGGGGTTATTTTCCATAGCTGTTAATATTTGTGGGTGTTCTGAATGTCAGTGGTCCATGTATAGATTTGATTTTTCCTAATATATCAAGAAATAAATTTTATTTATATAACTGTGGATGTTTTCATGATAGAGTTTTTATTTTTTTAATTTTTTTAAAATTTTTTTGACAGGCAGAGTGGACAGTGAGAGAGAGAGAGAGACAGAGAGAAAGGTCTTCCTTTGCCATTGGTTCACCCTCCAATGGCTGCCGTGGCCGGCACGCTGCGGCCAGCGAACCACACTGATCCGGTGGCAGGAGCCAGGTACTTCTCCTGGTCTCTCATGGGGTGCAGGGACCAAGCACTTGGGCCATCCTCCACTGCACTCCCTGGCCACAGCAGAGAGCTGGCCTGGAAGAGGAGCAACCGGGACAGAATCCGGGGCCCCGACCGGGACTAGAACCCTGTGTGCCATCGCCGCAAGGAGGAGGATTAGCCTACTGAGCCGCGGCGCCAGCATGATAGAGTTTTATTATATGAAGAAAATATTTTAAGGAATGAAGTAAACATAAAATGACCAGGATCCATTCTTTGTCTTTACATGTAGTGAATGTCCACAACAGTCTAAAAGCATCTAACAGATAACTCCATTTTTACAACAAAATAAACATAACTTTAATTTCACACAGAAATTAATTTCCACAGAGTCTGAATGACCTTCTTACAGTATCCAAGTAGACAGGTTTTCTGGGTCATATTAAATGTTTTGTGATCATATATTCTGATGTCCCTGTGTAGAGAGGCAGGAGAGGAGGTTATAAATGTGTTGAAGACCCAGGCCATGTTTCTTATTTGTGGCTTTGGACCTTGCTGTATTAAGGGTACTGTGTAAATACACAGGAAAAGTTAAGTACTGAAGCAAGTATTTTCTTTTTTTTTATAGTTTAATGTATTTTAATAGCAAACTTATAGGAATAGCACAGAAGACAACATTAAAAACATGTACTTGCATGTAGGACAACTCAGAAAAGTATAGTGAATGGATGGAATCTACTGTATGATAAAAATGCTACAAACACCATTTAGTTGCCGTCAATAAGAAATTTACTTGTTTTAAAAAAATCCAAATGCTGGCATTGTCCAGAAAAATTTAACAGGTTTATTTATAATTGTTATAGAGTTGAACCGCTGAAACTTGTTCACTGAAACATTTTGACTTGCATTAATGCTTTACGTCCCCGCATTTATATTAAAAATCCACACACAAATAAAAATGGAAAAACTGGCAATACCTGATTTCTGTCCCCTATTTTTCACTCGCAATCATATACTTAGGTAGGTACCTTTTGACCCCATGGAAAAAAATATCTAACGTTCAGAACTACCAATAACAGGAAGAAGAGAAAAAAAAATTTTTTGAGAATGAAATGTTTCCCGTCATAGTGGATCCTTAAGCACGTTCTCCACGTATGCGGCGTGCTAGCTGGATGTCTTTTGGCATAATTGTTACACGTTTGGCATGGATAGCACACAGGTTGGTGTCTTCAAAAAGGCCAGATAGGCCTCACTTGCCTCCTGCAAAGCTGCACTCTGGAAGCGCAGATCTGTTTTGAAGTCCTGAGCAATTTCTTGAACCAGACGCTGGAAGGAGAGTTTGTGAATCAGAAGTTCGGTGGACTTTTGATAACGTCTGATTTCACGAAGTGCCAGAGTACCGGGCCTGTAATGATGAGGTTTCTTCACCCCTCCAGTAGAGGGCGCACTGTTGCAAGCAGCTTTTGTAGCCAGTTGCTTCCTGGGTGCTTTACCATTGGTCGATTTGTGGGCAGTCTGCTTTGTATGAGCCATGGTATAAAGACCTCCTTACTTACCCCGGGATGGGAAGTGGCGGTGATTCCCACACCTTTCCTGCCCAAAAACTGGGGCCTGGGGCCTGGGGGCAGTAAGGGAGAGGCCCGCGTGGGTCGTGGTGAAGGTTTGGGGTTCGGGGAACGGACAGCGGGCGAGATTTCACTGAAGAAAGAGGAGCAGGAAGCTGTTATTTGGAAGTGTTTTCTTTTTTACTTTGGTTTCATGTGAATTATTGTGTTCTTAATGTACTCAGGTACTTATTCACATATTTTATCATTTCAGTGGAATGCTGGCCATTTTTTCCTACATTTTATTAGGCCAGTGTTTCTAATGGTTTCAGAGCAGTAGCAGTGTTACCTGACACTAATCTCAAAATAGGCCTGCCTATATTACATAGATTTTTATGTCCTTCATCCTTTGAAGAGTTCACAGTGGGTATTGATGTGTTAATATATAGATTCTATTAGGAGGGAGGGAAAGACTTCTACCTTCCTATTAATTCTATTTAACTGACTGCTTATTAAGAGAAAGCAAATGTCATAGTTTTTATTTTGAAAGTTTTTTTGGTTAAGAACTAGTTGATAATATCCATTGGTTTTTTTTTTTTTTTTTTTTTTTTTTGACAGAGTGGACAGTGAGAGAGAGAGACAGAGAGAAAGGTCTTCCTTTTCTGTTGGTTTATCCCCCAATGGCCGCTGTGGTCTGTGTGCTGCGGCCTGCAAGCCACGCAGATCTGAAGCCAGGAGCCAGGTGCTTATCCTGGTCTCCCATGGGGTGCAGGGCCCAAGCACTTGGGCCATCCTCCACTGCACTCCCTGGCCACAGCAGAGAGCTGGCCTGGAAGAGGAGCAACTGGCACAGAATCCAGAGCCCCAACCAGGACTAGAACCCAGAGTGCCGGCGCCGCAGGTGGAGGATTAGCCTATTGAGCCATGGCGCCGGCCAATAATCATGCTTTTATAAATTAACAACTAGTCTTATTTTCTCTTCACTGTTTTATTGGAATCTATACTTTTTACTATTATTTCATAGTTCAGGTGAGATAGATTTTTTTTGAGTAACAGTTCTCAAAAAGGGAAAAAAACAGTTGCTGCTATTTTCCAATTTTTAGAAAATTAAAACATATATTGCTGGCCGGTGCCGCGGCTCAATAGGCTAATCCTCCGCCTTGCGGCGATGGCACACAGGGTTCTAGTCCCGGTTGGGGCACCGGATTCTGTCCCAATTGCCCCTCTTCCAGGCCAGCTCTCTGCTATGGCCCGGGAGTGCAGTGGAGGATGGCCCAAGTGCTTGGGCCCTGCACCCCATGGGAGACCAGGAGAAGCACCTGGCTCCTGCCTTCAGATCAGCACGGTGTGCCAGCCGCAGCGCACCAGCTGCGGTGGCCATTGGAGGGTGAACCAACAGCAAAGGAAGACCTTTCTCTCTGTCTCTCTCTCTCACTGTCCACTCTGTCTGTCAAAAAATAAATAAATAAATAAAAATAAAATTAAAAAAATATATATTGCATGGGCATTGTTATGCAGTGGGTTAAGTCACTGCTTGGGAGGCTTCCATCTCAGAATGTGGGTTTGGGTTCCTACTACTCTGCTTGTGATACAGCTTCTTGCTAGCGAACATGTGAGGCAGCTGACAATGAATGATGTAAATGTGTTCCTATCGCCCCTGTGGGAGACCCAGATGGAGTTTCTGGCTCCTGGCTTTGGCCTAGCCCATTCCTAGCTGTTGTTTTCATTTGGGAAGTAAATGAGCAGATGGAAGTTTCTCTCTGTCTCTCTTTCTCTGTTTCTTCCCTGATCTTTAACATATAAGAGATAATTTAAATTTCTTTTGATATAAAATGAGACAAAAAGTCCTCACCCACATTGGGTCACATAATAAGTCACTTAGCCAGAATCATGAGTTCACAATGACAGAGTGATTAAGAGAGTTTCTTTTAAAGCAATCAGAAGTGGTTCATATCAGAGAGCTAGAAGTAACTATTCTAGGTTGTTTATTGTTATTCAAACTTTTAAGTGATTTTTCTAACACTGGTACTTGGGTTTTAGTAAATTTCTAAAGAAGTGGGAGAGAGACAGGTAGATGTAATATAAGAATGCACATTTTTAAAACAAAAAAGATTTATCTATTTATTTGAAAGGCAGATTTGCAGATAAAGAGAGAGAGACTGAAAGAGAGATCTTCCATTGACTGGTCCACTCCCCAAATGGCTGCAACAACTGGGGCTGGACCAGGCCAAAACCAGGAGCCTGGAACTCTATCTAGGTCTCCCACATGGATGGCAGCAGCCCATGTAGTTGGACCATCTTCCACTGTTTGCCAGGTGCAATAGCAGGGAGATGGATCAGAGTGGAGCAGCTGGATCTAATTGGGACTAACCACCACCCAAATGGGATGCCACTCTCAAAGGTGGTAGCTTAACCTGTTGCATGACAACATGGGCCCCAGCAAGGCATATTTGAAAAGAAATTCTGAGAGAGTCAATACACTGAGGATTTTTTTTTATTAAGATGGGTAAGATTTATAACAGTTTTTAAGTACTTGAAATGGAATTATGAAAATAATTTTGTTTAATTATCTCTTTCTCCATACTGGGATTGAAAGAGAAGTAGGGGGCTTCTTTTGCAACAAATGGAAGAATGCATTTAGCCAGAGATAATTTTGCTCAAATTATGATTAAACATTTTAACAGTTGACTGAGCGCTGTTAGGAGTCCTTCATTAATAAACAAAGTAAAAGATCAATTTAAGTCTTCATGTGAACGTACATTTTCTCTTCATGATTCTTTGATGATCTTGTAAGACTTTAACATTTTTCCAGAGTTAAAAGCATTAAGAGGAGTTATATTTGTTGGAAGATTTCCTCCACAAAATACATTTTTTTTCTTTTATCCTTTAAGACAAAACTCAGCACATGCTGCCTGCTTTGATGTCTAAACAAGCTATGATCATTCATATTAAAAAGAAATGTGAGAGTCCAAGAAAAGGTCATTTAATTTTTATTTTCTTTTCCTCTTTTTCTGTGGTCACAGAGAAATGCAACATTTGTTTGAGAAGCTGCTGTGAAGTTGTGTGGCTGCTGCATTTCCTGGGAGCACACCCCACCTCCTGCCAGCGACTCTGAGGGGAGACAGCCTTGACTTGTGGCACTTTTCAGGTTTGTTTCTTAAACTCTGGCCAGCTTTTCAACTGACTCCAGGGGTGGAGTATCTTGAAATTCATCTTTAGGTTGCAGAAATTACATGGAGTACCCTGGCTCACATATTTCTAAATTCAGAGGTTGAAAATTACTGTCCGCCTAGGGTGTTTACCTGAAATTAATCAGCCCACATTTGGGACAGGCTGAGTTGCACATTGTGAACGTGTTGTTCTATCCCTGGAGCAATCAATCACAGAGCCAAGTAATAGCTAAGAAGGAAAGAAAAGAAGACAGTAATTAAATGTCTGGAAATTAGAACATTACACAAAACCTCAGAGATATAATGGTTATGAAGACAAGTTATAGAGATACAAGCTTCTAATTCTGGCTGTGCAACTTACTTCCCACTTTATATACTCATGAGCAAGTTAATTCAATCTCCGTAATCTCAGTTACTTCATCTATAAACATGGAATAATAAAAATAACCACCTCATAGGCTTGTTATGAGAACTGAATCAGGCAGTGGATACAAAATGGCAGTTAACATGGTAAGCATTTGTATTTTATCTGAGTCTGATGGCATTCAGGAATAAAGGTCAAAGAATACCGTGATTGACAAAAATCTGTAGTTAAATTACTTGTCATGGAAAAGTGCTTCTTCCTGGTAGCCTGAATATTTCTTGTTGCTCAACCACACTTCATTTACTTCCAGAGAGCTCTTATCCTACACTTGCTGCTTTGAAGTGCACCTATGGCTCCTGTTGGCAAGTTCTTGAGAATGCAGGGCTTTGGTCCAGCCTTGTCAAATCAAGAGGACAATCTCCTGTCCCCAGTAATACTGAACACTCAGGGGTTTCTAGATGTTTAGTTACCACTTACTCCTGGCTTCATCTTCTGTAAAGTAAATGTGTACTTGGCATAGATTTTATAACCACCTTGAAGGAGAAAAGGAACCAACCCTGCAATTATGGATGTTGTAGAGAATTTAATCTGATGCTCACTTCTTAGCAATTCCCATGCATTGTGTGAATATTTTTCAGCTCTTGTAATAGAATTCAAGTTCTTTCTCTTTTAAATAATGATTTATCCCAAAGGATTTTTTAATTAATGACAAAACGACACAAATTTATCGGACGTTTAAGATGGTATTTATACTCTTTCATTTATTTGAAGAGTCATAATTTATGTACCTTCTGCAGAAATATTAATAATTACCAACAGTTGTTGGACACTTCCTATGTGCCAGACTCTTTCCTAAGCCCTTGTACATGTAGGCTTATAGAAGTATTAGGGGAAAGAAGAAGAGTAACACCTTTTGATATTTCATATAGCAAAAGCTCAGTGATTTATTTATTTATTTATTTATTTATTTATTTTGGTGGAGAGATCAAGACTTGTGATCTTACCTCTGGTGAGATAAGAGCATTCTTGGTCTAAATGTTGATTTGCTTTGAAAATGAGGCACTAGCTTATTACATTAGTTAATTATTTTTATAAGTGTCTGGGTCCTTAGTGATTCATTTAAATTTAAAAAAGTCTGTTATATAGTTGAGAGACTGGCAGAGAGAGGCAGAGCGGACCTATTCATTGGTTTACTCCCTAAATTCCTATAACAACCAAGATGGCTAGGGCTAAAGACAGGATGCAAGAATGCAATTCAGGCCTCCAACTTAGGTTGGAAAAATTCTATTTAACATGAGCTATCACTGTTGCTTCTAAGGGTCTGCAAAGGCAGGAAGCTGGAGGCAGGAGCCAGAGCCAGGAACCAAAGGCAGACCCTTCCATGTGGAACTCAGGCTTCTTAACTGCTAGGTTAAATGCCTGCTATCTTTAGTGGCTAATTTAAATCTTATCCAAGTTTCTTTTTTCTTCCACATCTGGCCTCCTAGTGAGGATTCAGATCATATAAGCTAACATGATTATGCATTTAATTAATGTATATTTTGAACAGTTATGTCATTAAGTAACTATTTTTTTCAAAGATAATTGTAAATTGACTTTAGGATTGTCTGAGGTTTCCTTTAAGAGGGAGAACAATTGGCTAGAGTTCTGAAATGAAGGGAAAAATAAGGAAAAAAATTACAGAATAATTTCTTAAATTTTATTTTTAATTTAATTTTGGTAGGTAATATAAACAAAATATAGAGTCCGAAAGACAATATAGACAGTTGTAATCACTAATCTCATTTTAAAATTCTATTATTCTGTCCTTTTAAGAATATTTCCTTAAATATCTGCATTCCATCTCTTATCACCTTTATGCACTCAATGAGTGATTTCTCCTTGTATCTGAGCTGCTACTTCTACAAAATGGAGTTGACTTTAAGATGATTTTAGCCAGAATCCAGTCTGATGGGAGCACTGCACTGAAACCTGCTTGTATGGGAAACTACATACTGCCATTTTAAGATTTTTTTTTCTCTTTCTTTTTTAGAAAATTTATTTTGCTTTGAACTGAGACATAAGGAATTGTACATTTTTTTCTGGAGTAGCATGCAATATTTCTAAACATGTATATGTTGCATAATAACCAAAGACAGTAAACATTTCTATCTCCTTACTCCTTAAACATTTATGATTTCTTTATGGTAAAATCATTCAAAATCCTTTCTTATAGGTTTGTTTAAAGACAAATATATAATGCATTATTATTTTGTCCTACTTCTGTGAAAGACAACTCTGGAACTTTGTACTCCTGTCTAACTATAATTTAGGAATTTAGGTAGACACAATAAATTCTTCTTTTCAGGGATCCTATGAAGCATGTTCCTATACTAGAAAGGTATCTTTTTCTCAATAGGGTTCACATTCCATGCTTCACTTGTCTGTAGTGACATGAACAGGCAACCAGTAGATTGTTATGTTCTATGTCTCATGTTAGCACAGCCTTTGAAAAAAATATCTTGAGTGACTTTAGTATGTCTAAAATAAGTGGATATTTAATCTTACTTGTTTTATATCCTCAAACATCTGATAAGGATTTTAAATGACAGTATGCCAGAAATACATAGATTTATATTAAGTACCTTGGTACAGTGATAAGAAAACAGGACAATGGTTAAATTCATAAGGTATATATAGAAAAAAAAACGTGAAAAAGAATTGTTCAAACAAGTAAGTGATACTAAAATGGTGGTATTACTTTTATTATATGGTTTGAAAGCAAAAACCACTGTAATTGGTAAATTGAAACAGTTAACTCTAAAATAGGCCTTAATTATTCCTTATGTAAGAAAAATAGTGAAAACATGTTACAAGTTATTTCAAGTTTCTACTGAGTCTAAATTATTTCAAAGTGTGGATTTTCTTGGTTCACATCAGTGGGATTATGGTAATTTAAATTTGGTTTTAATATGAAATAACATATGACAGGAAAAAGAAAATCAGATTTTTTTTCATGTTAGAGGCCATTATATATATATAAACCCCTTACTTTCTGCTTGCATTTGCATGGGCATTTAGAAATGATATAAATCATGAAAATTTGACCTTAGTCATTTGTTATATTTCCAAATTTCCACAAGATGGCAGAATTTCAGAGCATTTTAAAATATTTGCCCAGATAGGTAGCTAGAATTGTTTTAAATTTTGTAACTAGGTTAAGCACAAATCCTGTTTTCTGATCACTGATGCACGTAATATGCACACAGAGCAGGGTCTGGTTCTTCCTTTTGTTATTTTCAGATTCTACTAAATTGGGGTAATGAAACAGCGGATTGCACAGAGTTTACAACACTCCTCGGGTAGACAACCACTCTCTTGTTTTATAACTCTAATTTGAGGTCATTCATAATCACCTAGGAACATACTGCCACATCTGTGTATTTCATTTGTTTTATTCATGAGGGTCAGAGATGAGCTGGGATGCAGACTTTAACAGATGGATCTCCACGTCCTGATATTTCTGAGGTTCTGGCCACATGGCAGTATGGTTCTTAAAGCAGTGAGGAGCAGTCAATCCTGTCCATCACCAGGCTTGTGCCTATAAATATTTAAATGATCATGTTTTACTCATTAAGGGTTTGATATGCTCTAGGTGACACAAGCTTACTGTTAAGTTTTAGACTCCTCAGGCAAGCAAACTCTACCTTTCTTTCCCTTTTCTTCCTTTTCCTTCTCTCCTTTCTTATTTCCCTCCCTCTCTTCTTTTATTTTCCCTCTTCTTTTTCTTTGTTTTCTTCTTTGTGATGCCAGTAATAATAGAGTTGCTATTAGTGACTCTCTTAAAGACAGATCTCTGAACAGCCATTAATGCTTCTTAGTTTCTTGGGGACTCCTATTATAAAATCTTATAGGCTAGTTAGTTTATAAACAACAGAAATTTATTGATCACAGCTGGGGAGGCTGGGGTTTGTCCAAGACTAAGACACAAGCAGCTCATTCTACACTTTGTGGATGGTGCTTTCTAGCTGTGTTCTTATGAGACAGAAGGGACAACGAAGTTCAAGGACACTAATCCCATTCAGGGGACTCTATCCTCATGAACCAATTACCACACATATGCTCCACCTCCTGACAGCACCCTTGGCATTAGTTTTCAAGCTATGAATTTTGGGATGTCACGGCCTCCATAGCCTGAGAAAGGAGAGGGTTCCTGGACCCAAACTGAAGGTACACTAACAGCCCTGACAGAGATTTGAAGTTAGTACCCAATTCAAACCTTGCTTGAATTTGTATTTATCTTACCCTGCCTCCATAGAAGTTTTCCATTTTCTGTAATGTCTAGGGATAAACATCTAGGGATAAACAACTCTTCTCGGATGTTTCATTTAAAAATTAAAGTGTAGTTAGAGATCTTGAGTTTCTTCATTTGGTAAGTAGAGTATGTGTGAGTTAGCAAACCATTTTATCTGCGTGAGAATCCTAATGTTAAGGTTACAGCTCTGTACCTGAATCCACCTGAATCTCATCTAGTGCTAATGGGAAGGTGTTTATGTTGCAAGATGCCACAACTGATTATGAAGAAGAAATGACAAGTACTGACAGCAAGAATCTCTCAGAGTAAGAACTTGTTATCTCATAATGTTGCAGCTGTTAATTGTGATATCTGAATTCAGGAAATGATTATATTTGGTGGTTAGGTAGATGCTTGTATTTTTAACAGAAGCACAATATTTCTGAAGATTTTGGGAACCCAAAGTTTTAACCCCCCAGTGACTACATAAAGGACATAGTCATTAAAACGGTGGCACTACAGAAGCAATAATATGTAGAAATTTTTTCAAAAGCTTTTTATTTATTTATTTATTTGAAAGGCAGCTTTAGAGAGACAGAGATCGTCCGTCTGCTTATTTACTCACCCAAATGGCAGCAACAGTTGAGGCTGGGCCAGGGCAAAGCGAAGCCTGGAATCCACTCAGCTCTCCCATGTGGATGCCAGGGTCCCAGGTATGTGGACCATCTTCCATTGCTTTCCCCAGGAAAGTTAACAGGAATCTGGATTAGAAATGGGTAAGCTGGGGCTCAAATAGGTGCTGATATTGGATGCTGGCATCTCAGGCTGTGGCTCAATCTGCTGCACACAATGCTGGCCCCAAGTGATTCTGAAAATTGCTTTATTCGTAGTGGATAAAGCTTCTGCCTGCGGTGCCAGCATCCAATATGAGCACCAGTTGGAGCCCTTGCTGCTCCACTTCTGAACCAGCTCCCTGCTATTGGTCTGGGAAAAGCAGCAGAGGATAGTTCAAATGCTTGGACCCCTGCCACCTGTGTGGGAGACCTGGAAAATTGCCTTATTGTCTATTCATAATGCTGGAGACAACTTTAAGAAAGAATACAAAATTCTTCTGTATTCCACTGCTTCATCTGTGGTGTGCAGACTGAATGGCAAATCTTCTATTCCATTTCATAAAGCACTAGGAAAAATCCAAGGTGATTCTGCTTATAAAGAACTATCAGTGTAAAATGAATATCTACTGGGATAAAAATTATTTCTGACTCTAGAAAATTTCTGTCAGTTTCCATTCCAAGTACTTAGAAAATAGCTAGCTATGTACAAATTAACCATACTTAAAGTTTAGAAACCATTTTTATATCTTACTCCAATAGTTAAATATGCACGCAAAAATTCAGAAGTGGAGAACTGAGTCCATTCTATCTAGATTAAATTCAAGGGGTCTGTTACTGAATATGAAGTCAATTATAGACTCATTGAGAGGGCTGAAGAAATAGACTCCAAAGCCATACCACATGGATGGACTACAAGGTTACCACTGCTTATGCCTCAGTCAGGTAGTTCCCTGTTGAGAGGGAAGCTACTACTATAGTCTGGCTCCGGAACAAGGTTGTCTTTGCACAGAAGCACATGGAGGTGTCATCCCTGCCTTTTCTCCAGTTTCCCTCATTTTGGAATTCAAGTCTGTTATCAGTATATCAACTGAAAACCAACAAACCAACAAACAAATCTAAATCTTGATTAAAACACTAGCTGCAAGGACATTAGGCATATTTACCACAAAGAAATAATGCAAAAAAATAACTAAAATTTTAGAAGTAATTTTATCTGGATAACACATTAACTGAATACTTGACATGCTGAATTATTTTCTGTCCCAAGTATTAACTCAAAATAATTTTGGAAGCTTTCTTACACCTGCCTTCTCCTAGGTTTACCCTCATATAAAATATGACGTGTTA